CTACTTTTATTGGAGTAGTGCAAGTCACCCCCTAGAGGAAAGAGAAATAGTGTGTATTGAATTATACTATCATTAAGGTTGGGAAAGTCCTCTTAAGATTGTCTGGTCTAATAGTCTACCCATCACCTCTAAGTCCACTAAATCATGACCCTCAGTGCCACATCTATGCTTTTCTTGCAAAGCTCCAGGAATAGTGACTGCATCCGTTCCCTGGCCAGCCTGTTCCAATGCATCACCAACTTGTTCTAGAAGAAATGTTTCCTTATATCCAGTATCTGGAACCTCCTTGGTGCAGCTTGGGGCCATTACCTCACATCCTATTGCTGTTACCTGGGAGAAGAGGCCAACCCCCACCTCACCACAGCCTCCTTTCAGAGACTGGTAGAGAGTGACAACGACTCCTATGAGCCTCCTCTTCCTCAGGGTAAATGTCCCCAGTTCCTTCAGCCACTTCTTGTAGGATTTGTGGAGCAGACCCTTCTCCATCTTCTTTGCTCTTCTCTGGACAAGCTCCAGGGCTTGATTGTCCTTCTCCTTGAATGAGAGGCTCTCTAGTCCTCCCTATCAATTCCCTCCAATCAACTCCCTAGTCCAGATAGCAACACTGTTTCTGATGCAATCCTGGTCTTGACTATCAAGGCACACTCTGCTGGCTCTTGTTCAGTGATTGTCACTGTTCAGCCCCAGCTCCTTTGTGCAGCTTTCCAGTCCCTCTGCCCCAAGCCTGTGGCATTACATGGGCAGTGCAAGCGCAGGACTCATCACTTGGTCTTGTTGGAGCTCATGCAATTGAACTGAGCACATTGATCCAGCTCATTCTGATGCCTCCGTAGGGTCTTCTTACCTCAAGGTTTATCAGCATTTCCTCTCAACTTGTCATCTGCAAACTCACTGAGAACATGCTCAATCCCCTCATGGCTATGAGTAGAGACACTAAACAGGGCTGGCCCCATTTCTGACTCATGGAGAACACCCCTTGAGATGGTCACCAGCTGGATTTGACTCAATTCAGCACCACTCTCTGGGCCTGCCCAGCAAAGAGTACGCCTGTCCAAGGCATGGGCTATCAAGTGTTCTAGAGAATTCTGTGAAATTCAGTGATGTATATCATGATCTGTGTGTAGGTGAGATAGCTGTAACAAGGCATTTCCCTAAATGCCTTGTTGATATTTGAGTATTAGTTAGGCACCAAATGGCTCTAGGCTGTTTACCACTCTAAACTGTCAAGTCTTAACCAAGGCTTTGTTATCAAATGTATATATTAATTAGAACTTTGGTGGAAGAGACTGAGGTATTTCGAAATACAATAAAAGGCTAGGTGTCAGCTGAGCAGAGGTTTGGAAGACCTGTAGTTTGGGCTGGAGCACTATGGTTCTCCTGCAAAGCAATGGCTGTTGCTTAATAGAGCATGTTGAAGATAGTGCCATCATAAAGAACTTCAGTGGAGAAGCTTGGATGTGCAGTTTCTACTCTCACTGTTACGCTGTTCATTTCTGCATTTTCACTGGCGCCTTTGAGATTATGGCCAAAGGTGCATTTTGTGGCTTAATTGAATGCTGTAAAGCCTATGCAAGAGTAAATAAAACGTGCCCGTAGAAAACAGATAAAACCTTGGCTTGATGATGAAACACTATCAGATGATGAAACACTGCTATCAGTCTGTGAGTTTGTTCTCTTACTAAATCTGCTGGGACTTTCGGGACTCATTAGTGAGAAGAGTCCAGTGTTAACTTTGTTTCCAGCAGCAGTCAAGCTTACTTCAGCTGCCAGGTCTGTAACATGGTACGTGACTGCACCTGGTGGTAGTGAAACTTTGAAAGGACCAAGTTCAATCCCTGAGCCGTTATCTAGTGGTCTGACTTCAGTCGCTGATGCTAGGAGCATTGTCCAGGCCTTATCTATCCAGTGGTGAGGTGATCACGATTGCATTTGTTTGGCATGAATCTTTGTGTTCTCAGAGTCAATACGATACGCATACCTGTTACAGTTTAATTGTTCATAAAATTGGAATGGATCTTGAAGTCAGTTCTTATGCTGTATAATGTATGATGTGGTTCAGCTAGTGCTCAAAACAAACTTCATGACAAGAGAGCTAAAAATAATGCTGGTGTCTTGGGCTTGCAATTGTTACAAAGTGGTCAGTTTCGTGTAGTAGGTTTTCTAGTGTGGTGTGACTTAAATGCTGTCACAAAACCCAACAGCCACTGCAAAGATTGCATTACTTTATTCGGTAATAATTCTGTGTTGAACTGATTCATATTCTCAATTTTTTCTCCCCACTAAATCCCCAGGAGCTGTGGTTGTGTCAAACCCCAGTACTTAGGTCTTGATTGTCCTTTTACTTTAATGTTCATCCAGATGTATTTAATAGTTTGGAACAGAACATTTTATGTGTTTCTTTTTTGTTCTTTGTTTTTTTAAAGCTTTCTTTAAGATATCTCCTTGAATTTCTTAGGAAAGAAGAGCTCTGAAATCATGGCAGGGAAACCTAAGCTTCACTATACCAGAGGAAGAGGGAAGATGGAGTCAATCCGGTGGCTGTTAGCAGCAGCTGGGGTTGAAGTTCGTACCTTATTTTTTTTCTTATTTTATAAAGTGATAAGATTAATTTCTGTTTGAAATAAGGATTTGGTTTCGGAAAGGTTTTCCAAGTACTTCTATATTTAGAGATAGGTACAATATCACCTGTTGTGCTGCAGAATGCTTACATGCAGTAACACACTCTCTTGTATTTTATTTAAGGTATTCTTTTAATATGCAAAAAGAATCATTAATTCGTTCATTTTTGAAACATACATGTTGTGGAGATCTTAAATTTTTGCTACAGACCAGAACAGTCTGAATTTCCTGTATCTTAAATGTGAAACTTCAGAACACAATCTGCAAAAAACGTGGTTTTTGTTCATTAGTCAGGACCTGACAAAGATTAATCAGCAAAGCTGCACTGAAGCCAGTGGGGAGCTATCTAGATTCACACCAGGTGAAAGCTGTCCAAAGGCATCTTAATTTCTGTTCACTCTGCTTGAATGCAATGCTTTGAAACTATTTTCTTAGGCATTGTGTTGCACTGGAAAGAAAAGGCTTTTTTAGTGGTGCACATTCAATTTGAGTATTGCTGACAGAGGAGCTGCAGAGCACAAGTGCTCTCATTCAAATGTCTTCTTCATTTAGAAAACAGACAAAAATCAAAAATCCAGAGCCCTCTGGAGTTGGGCTCAGTGATCCTTGTAGATCCATTCTAGTTCACAATATTCTATGACTCAGTTACATCTATAAGAAAAAGAGAGGCATAAAATGTGTAACAGGAACAGGCATAGCATATTAAAAACTTCTAAATATTTCACATGGTGTGAGCTGCTTTTCAGTGAATGATTCATTATCTGTGAATTGTGCATGCAAGTGAGCAGAGCTTTATGATGGAAGAAGATTTTTTAAAGGGATAGCACTGTGCATTTACTGATGGGTTGGGAGGTGTAGCCCAGGGTTATTTGCCAACACAGTGATGACAAGTATGAGAAATAGTAGGGAGAGGTGGAGTCTGGCTTCCAGACTTTCTGTTTTCCCATTAACTTTGGAGTGTCACAGTGTTGTTTTCTGTCTTTACTTTTCAGTTTGAGGAAGAATTTATAGAAAAAAAAGAAGACCTAGAAAAATTACGCAACGGTGAGTCTGCAGACTAGTAAGTTCACATCAACAGAACAAAGGGAGTGCTTCTGACTTTTATCAGTGAGAGATGAGATTTCTGTAAGATCTCGGATACAATGTGACTTGTAAAGAGATTTGAGAGAACAGGTTGCCTTGTTAAAGCTTTAGATCACTCAGCATTAGAAATGTCATGACATGTTATGAAGTCTGTTCCTTAGAATCAGTGGTACTACATTGCTTGAATAGTTTGCTTTTTTTTCTTCCCCAGATGGATCCCTGCTGTTCCAGCAAGTGCCCATGGTGGAAATCGATGGGATGAAGATGGTGCAGACCAGAGCCATCCTCAACTACATAGCAGGGAAATACAATCTCCATGGGAAAGACCTGAAGGAGAGAGCCTGGTACAGTAGCAGTACATACTGTCCTTATACTTTTTCAGTGTTTTTAGTGTATGTGAGAAGAATATTGCTCTGAGGTGACTGTGTGCAAAGCCGCACGTAACGTACTCATGCTTTGTCCCCTCGGATCCAAAGGCAGCTTGAACAGACTTTGACACTAAGAGATTCACGGTGTTAGATATCAATATCATTAGAATTTTCTGGCCACATTCAGGCTTATCTGAACTACCAGAGTGGAATTACGTTGTGTTGCTGGGTAACTGCAGTACAGTAATACAGTTATAATGCCTAAGGCTGTTTATTTTTTGTGCTTAAAGGGGGACTACAGAAAAGATGCTGGACTCTTTATCAGAGAGTGTAGTGACAGGTCAAGGGGAAATGACTTTAAAATAAATAAAGCTAGATTAAGTTAGATCTGAAGAAGAAATTGTTCACAGTGAGAGTGCTGAGGTACTGGAACAGGTTGCCCAGAGAATCTGTGGATGCTCCATCCCTTGATCTGTTCAAGTGTGTGGCAACTCTGCTTGCAGAAGGGGTGTTGGAACTGGATGGGCTTTAAGGTCCTTCCCAACCCATGCTATTCTATGATTCTATTCAGTTGGCAGCCATTTTTTGCCTGGATCCTTTTATGATTTGACATCAAAACTGTTATATTTTCCATAGTAGCTTGCACGTGTGATTTTTTTCTTATAAAAAAAATAGATGAGTAGGGTATCAGTGGAAAAGTGGGGGCTTAGGGGTTGGACTCTATCTCTAGAGGTCCCTTCCAACCCCCTGTGATTCTGTGAAAACAATGTGAGCATCGGTTTGACTCTGTTTATACTCTGCTTGTTGCATACACCATGAGCCTGCTTCTGAAGATGTTTGGGAAAACAAAAAACCTGAGCTGGAATCAAAGTGGAAGAACAAAAAAGTGAACCAGTGGTTAGGCTGCATTCATTAACAAGTGATCTCTTAAGTACTCTATTTCAGGAAAATAATCAAAATGGGAGTTTAAACCTTTTCTTTCAGGATTGATATGTATGTGGAGGGAACAACAGACCTGATGGGAATGATCATGGTTCTCCCTTTTCAAGCAGCGGATGTGAAAGAAAAGAATATTGCCTTAATCACTGAACGAGCTACAACCAGATACTTTCCTGTTTATGAAAAGGTAAAGGGTGAAACATCAGGAGTCCACAAAGGCAGCCAAGCAGGGTGCAGCCCTCCTGCCCCAGCCCCACACTCATAGCTTGAAGGCAGGTGGTGGTACAGCTCTGGGACTGTATGATGGAACCAGCATTCAGCAATGGGAAAAGAAAGCTGCAAAGTAATACTGGGCTGATCTCAGTACTGAGCACCTTTGCTGTCTTAAAGACTACTCAAAGGGCAAATTCTCCTTGTTGTTTGCAGGCAGTGGACTTTCACTTTTTGCACGTAGCTTAGTGGCTGGTAGCTCCCATTGTTTTGCACAAATGCTCCATTTAAATACCCGTGCCAGCCTTCAGAGCTCCCTGCTTAAAAGTATACAGACCCTTGATGTTTACAGTTAAATCCAACCACTTGTTATAATTAGGGACCTAATTTTGTGATTTTTCTTGAACCCACTGCTTTAATGGAAGTCACCTAGAGATCATTACTGTCCTTTTCTGAATTGCTTTATTTGGGCACCCTTAGATGTGCACAGAGAGATGTGCACAAACAGAATGTATCTAGCTTAAAAGCAGGAAAGCAATTATCTGATGGCTACCAGGCACTAACGAGGTGGCCTCTAAGGAGCCTTCAGCTACAGCATTAGTAAGCTAACTGCACTCAAAGCAAACAAAAAACCTGTCTTTGCTAGGTAAGATTTGGCAAGGGGAGGAAGGGTTGTTCTCTGTTGCTCCCAGGAACAAAGCCTTCGTGTTCCTATGTTGCCATTTCCTACCAACTTGCTATTTATTTTATTTTTCTCTTTAGGTTCTTTTATTTTTGTGTCTATTAACATTTTTTCTTCCTGAATTAGAGCTAGCAATGATCCTCACCTCCTGCTGCTGTTTGTGCCCTGCATGGCTGTGCTGTGCAGACTTTCTTGCAGCGCTTTCTCCCAGCGTAGCAGTTTCTCCATGTCTGTGCCAAGGCTACACAGCCGTGCTTGGCTCAAATTCCTGGTTCCCCAGGAGGAGCACAGAGAGAGGTTAAGGAAGAGGTCAGAGAGAGAAGGAGTTTTCAAGAAAAAAAATCATCATGGGATCTGCTCCTACAAGCTAGCTCTGGGGAATCAGAATATTTTGGAGGATATCTTTATACAACTTTCTGGAATCCAGAAAAATGCAACTTTTGTACTGTCTGTGGCGTCGTAGGCAACTATTACAAGTTTTAATGTGAATGTTTACTGGGAAAAAGTCTTTAAAATGATCTTTATTAACTTACATTAGACAGAACTAAACTTTGCATGACTTTTAGCCCAGCTAATTTTGTCAAAAGAATTAATAACTTTCCTTCTGTACTGGCCGCTTAAGTGGTCCATTGATTCAGCTTGGCAGGATTTGCAGTCCAGGCCTTGTGCAGTCCTGACAGTAAAATCTCCTAGATATGGTCACTTTGAACAATCAGCAGCAAATGGTAATTCAAAAGCACTGCAGGGTGTCTGGTCTGATGCTCTGTTTGAGAGCTTCCCTGGCTTCAGCAGTCAGGTTTTGGTGCAGCTTGTTTTGGTAGTGGGTTAGGTGTATGAAATAGCTGCAACAAGGTACCAGGTATTTGTCTGTCCCAGAAGTTGCTGCCTTTCTTAGGCTAATACTGGCAGGTGGGATTGTAATAGGAATCATCTGTATGGGTTCTTGCATGGATTTCTTTTGCTGTTTATCTCAGTAGAAATCTGTCTGTTACATCTAGGTAAAATCATTGCATACTGTATGACTTCTTTATTTGTTCTTATTTTGTAGGCCTTAAAAGACCATGGTCAGGATTATCTTGTTGGCAACAAGCTAAGCTGGGCAGACATCCACCTGCTGGAAGCCATTTTAATGACAGAAGAACTTAAGGCTGATATACTGTCTGCATTCCCTCTGCTACAGGTTAGTGATCATCTGATCTCAGCGTGGAATGTAACATACACATTTCACTGCCCAGCTTTAAAAGCTCATTGATGTTTAAGTCTTTTGAACCATTGTACTGAGTTGCTGGCAGCTTGATCTTCTGTTGACTAAAACAAGCTGAAACAAGCTGAACACCCCCACAGTCACCTTCCTTCAGCTCTGCTGCTCCCAGTTGCTTTCAGCTGGCAGGAATTCACTTTCTGACTCTACCAGTTTGGTCCTGTCACTCCACTAACATGTCTTCAAACAGCTTTGGGCATCAGGACAGGAGGTTATGGCTTGCTGTGGCTGAAGTTCCTAGCTTACTTTTGCTAGCAAAATTACATTTTGAAGAAACTGTATATAGAAATGTTTCTTCTTTCTTGTCTTATGTGGTGTTTTGCACTGAGGTGCTCCTGCCTTAGATTCTTTTTAGCCCAAATACATCTGTAGTATTTGGATTCAGGTTGTGTTTTTTCCTTTTTTTTTTTTTTTTTTTTTTAATTTCTCCTTTTGCAGATGAATTTTTACTCTTTAATATTAAATTCTCCCATCCACATCTGGAAAACCAAGGAAACTCTATGGCACCATTTCTGATTAGAATATTCACACCTATTCACACCTGAATTTTCCAAAAAGACCAATATATTGTGAGACGTGTTTGCAAATATATATGCATACATTTTTCATGAAAAATACTGAGTGCTGAGCTGGCTCTGAGTAGCTACTAATATTCTCTGCTTAATATGTATGTATGAGAATAAAAAATCCAAGTCATCTGATTTTTAAGCTAAAAAGGATGGGATTATAATTTCCTTGCTTTCACTGGCTTTCTTACTTCTTACAGGCTTTTAAAGGAAGAATGAGCAATATCCCAACCATCAAAAAATTCTTGGAGCCTGGCAGCCAGAGGAAGCCACCATCAGATGAGAAGTCAGTTGCTAATGTGAGGAAAATATTCAGTTTCTAGTCACGTGGCTGCTACAGATAACGGGCCTGTAGTCAATTACCTAAGCTGTGCCTCTGAAGTGTAAACTGCGTAGATCTATTCTGTGGTTTGTGCCCTATACTCTTTGAGATGGAAGACAATTTAGATTAGAGTAAAAGGCTGTTGGACCTGCTGATTACAGAAGGCAGTGTTTTATTACCAAGAGTTCTTGCTACCATCAGTTACACAAAATAAAATATACTGCTGTTTGCTGTTTGGTTAGCCATTAATTGCAGTACATGCCTGGTGAAGTGTTTCAGCTGTAGTTTCCAAAGCACGGCAACAAAGCCTCTTTCCTCCCTTTTTATTAGTTGCAGCCCAGAAGAGCCACTCCATAACATTTGATAATTCATTTTTTACTTTACCTGGTCAAAACTCGATGTATCCCTGTGCATTTATTTGCTGCCTGTATTAAAAAATAAAAAAATAAATAAATAAAATCTCATGGTCTCTGTAACTTTATGGCTGAAAGAAAGAAACTATTTTAATCCTTACATGAATCTCTTAGATTTTGATCGCTGAAAGATCAAAGTACGTGTGTCTAATGAGTCTGCTGCTACTCATTCCTTGCTCTTATTCTTGCATGGCTGGACTGCTGCAGTGAGGAGAATGCCACTTGACTCTTTTACTTTCCCTGTTACTTCTCAAGCAGCTCTAAAGAAACTGCACTGGCTGCTTACCTTTTCAGTAAAAGAGTTTGCAGATGCTTTAAGGACTTGTTGAGATAAAGCCTGTTTCAGATTCTTTACCCTCATTTGATGGGAATCGTCACTGTCCACTTCAAAAATACAGACATAAACTCTTTTTGTCTTTCCAGTTAGCTGTTTTTCTCAGTAAGACTCAAACAGATGAGGGAGAGAAACCTGTTAACCAGTATATAGACAGAATTGCTGACCAGCAACTCCTTTTCTGACTTGTGTGGGCCAATAACATACTTCAGAGTTACACATTTGGAACACCCCAATCACCCACACACTGCTCATATTAGTTCTTCGCTTCTTAAAATTAACATTACTTGGCTGGCTGGAAGCAGCAGTTTGAACTGGAAGGGCAGTTTGCCTATCATAGTACTTAACAAGTTTTGTGTTGCTACGCCTCTGTTCCAAATGGAACGGTGGTCAGACCATTGCAGACACTAACACAGGGCATCAGCTATGCATTCTGTAAGTGCGTGCTCAGTCCCCAAGGGATACAGTAGACTCGCTAAGAACATTACTTGCTTGGGCTGCACAGCTGTTTAGACAAAAGCTTTTGGGTTAGAGTTGGGCTTTGACGCCTGTCCTTGTGCCCATGGGGTAGTTCTGAGAATGCAAAGATGGCTCAACTCTGGAGTACTGAACAATGCAAAATCCCATTGCATTTAGCATATGAGCTAGCAAGCAAGTGATGATAGCAAGCATCCACATTTCAGCACTAGGTTGCCTAAACTTTTCTGTAGAGCTCACCCTACAGAAGCAGGATTCATCTCCTCTACAGCACTGGTCATCTAAGCTTGTTATTGTGGTACACGGCTGTCCAATTCCCCTGACTGCTCTAATTCAGGATAGAAAGAACCACATCCTACATGTCCAGCTGTCGTTCTACTTATCAGAGTCCTACACTGAAATCCATAGAATATCAGCTCATCTGCACATAAGCCTGGTGACACCTGGTGGTGACTGGTACAAGCATTTGCTAGCTAAAGACTCGAGGTGGTATTCTGCTAATGGATTGGTGTAGCATTAAGAGCAGACATACACACTCAGAAATAGGTTGCCTTTATGATACTGTAATATTTATTTATGGATGTTATGTATACATATGTATATTCATGATATAAGGGACACTAAACCACATCCCTTAGTGCCAGAATAGTTGTACGCGGTACGGTGTGTGTTTTAAATCAGTAATGAATACAGAGCAGCTCATCCAACTTCCCCTGACGAAGTGACACTTCACTCTGCATAAAAAAGCTGAGAGAAGCTTCAAACATTTTAAGTTTTATTTCAACACTGATAGTAGGTTTGATATTTAGAAACAGTGGAAGAAGATAAACGTATTGAAAAGGAAGACAGGTTTTTGTATAAGACAGTACAGGCACATGCCTTTATTCATCAGTGACTAACAATATGGTTAGAATTGATTACTTAATTACAGAAGGTAAAAAATTATGCTTCAAAACAATACATCTCTGAGATACAGTGTGGCTTCTGGTGTGCTCAGCACCTCTGAAAGCTATCAAATTTAGAGGTAAAGGTCCCTTGAGTTAGCAGATTGCTTAAGCAGATGAAAATGTATCATTAACAAACCACTGTTTTAGCTTTTATAACTAGCTTGCAAAACACCAGCTGGCAAGTGCCAGTAATTAGGGTACAGATACTGATCTTATACTGAAAAGATAAAAACAAAATAAGACTTGTGTTCCAATTCTATGATTCTATGATTCTATGATTCAATTTGTCTTTCAAGTATGGAGAGCCTGCCTGTTTGTGAGGTGGGCATGGCTGTCATACTTCAGTTCTCAAGTTGCTACATTCTCCTACAGAAGCATAAAAACAAGCCTCAAAATCATCAGAAGGCTGTAGAAAAGAAAACAGAAAAAAGTCCATATACAATTGTGCATAAACAGTGAAAATCATCATTAAACAACAGCACATTCATAAATACCTGACACCAGAATCTCCAGTAAGCAATCTTTCAAAGCATTTCAATCTATAGCATCACTGACCACTCAAAGTCTAAGCATACTGTTCTGTTGTTGACACAACAGAAAATAACATTTTGCAGTTTCAGTCCTGATTTATAACTTTTAGCAACCGTGTGTGTGTGTGTGTGTGTGTGTGTGTGTAAGATGACTGTTGTATGAAGTTAGATGACTGGCTTTATGCATATCTGTATGGAAGCACTGAAGCTTTCCTCAGGTTCTTCCAAAAGCCTTAGCAACATGCATTAATGTTTAACTGTAGATATCTGCTTTCTTTGCTGAGAAATGCTGTCCACAGTTTATGTATCTGCCTAGTGAGACAAAAAGCAGGTAAATGGAAACAGGACCAAACTAATTTCACTTAAACCACACAGCTGCTAGGTGGTAGTAACCTCCACTGATACTAGCTTGAATCAGATATTGAGTAGCAACTATTTGAAAATCAGTGAAATCTTTACATTGAGATCCTCAATATATGTTTACCTCAGGCATGCTACAAGTCCGGCTGGCATCAGTTTCTTGGTCCTCTTGAACCTCATTCCCATTATAATGGTCAAAAGAAAGGCTGAAACTGTAAAAAAACAATTCAGTGCATTTGTTATCTCTTTCAGAGAGGACTATTCAGGAATATGGAGAGTAAACAAAGGTCATGGACATGGTTTGCTATGAAACATAGTTCAGTAAAATGTGAGATCATAGAGAGATCTGTAAAAACATTCTTGCTTTCCCAAAATTCATTACCAGGATTCCCTTCAGCTGCAGATGAATGCAGCAGAACGCTAAATCCTTCTCTGTGGATGCAAAACAAGTTTGTCAGGTGATGAATTTGTATTCCTGTGTACCTGCATTCATAGGGCTACCAATGAAGTTGGAAGAATCCTCTTTGTTAACAGTAACGTTTATGCTGAGTTACAAATACAGTGTGTCATAATCCAACACTGCAACTGTTTTTCTTACTAGCTATTCAAGGAGCTAGAACACAGAAACTGTTGTGATTTTTTTTTCCTTTTTTTTTTTTTTTTTTTTTTAATTTTTATTTTCCTTTTAGTGTGCTGGATCTGTATTTGCTAAGCCTTAAAAACTAGATTTGAAAGTTTTCCTTTATTTCTGCTCTAGGATATGGCTTAACATCTACTGCGGTCGTAAGTACTTTTGATTTGCAGCAAGGCTTGCAAACCAGGTGGGCAGATCCAAAGGGCAAACATCATGAAAGGAATTGCACCTTCTTCCTGGACCTTTTACCTGAAAACAGAGGTAGCAACAGGCCGGTCAACCAGACCTAGAGATTCCAAGTCAGGCTAATGACTGCTAAGGAGATTAAGAAAACATAAAACTGCAAAGATAGCTACAGTTGAGTTAAATGCTTCCTAGAAAAGGGCAGAGGCAGGGCTGACAGCTGGGTTGTATCATGCTGGCAGCTCTTCCATTCTCACGGAGCAGATAAACCACCCAGCAAACTCTCTTTAAACTCCACCACCTTCTGTGGGCAGTGCTGCGCTCACAGTTGTCAAAAATGAGTTTTAAACTCATTCCAACATCATGTGACAAGTTCTGGCAGTTACAAACAAATAAAGACAGCTTGCTTCACTCTCCCTTGCTCTTATTTTCTGGTCCCATATGATCCTCTCTGGAATGTCTGAAGAGCAGACTATTCCACAGCATGGTCTTGCCAAGGGCCCCGAGTATATTCACAATTAATTAGAAGCTACAAAACATGCCTGGTTTAGTTTGTGAGCTCCCTGCATTACCAGTATTCGACTTTTCAAATGTGCCAAGGAGTTTTTAAGACGTTCATCTTTTAGACCTGATTTTCAAAAGCATTGAATATTCAGCATTTCACTTTTAATCACTTAAAAAAATAATCAATAAATAAAGCCAAATTCAGCTCAGTAAACCATAAAGATAAAACTCATAAAGCAACTCAATACAGCAAATGCATTGAGTTGCATTCTCACTAACAAACTTAAGCATGAATTTCTACACCTATTGCAATCAGTAAGCAATCTGGAAAACACAGGAGCTCACTTCAGGGGCAGTGGACTCTCCTTTCCTTTTTTTTTTTAATATTTTTTTTTTCCAAGCATTTTCAAATCAGCAACAGTGGATGAATGCTTGAAAAAATAATTTATAAAACTACTAGGGAAATTTGACTCTGGTATCTGTATGCCACATACACTTGGCACATAGGACAAGTTACCTAAAACAAGGATTTGTACTGAATCATTACCTACACTATTGTAGGAGGCTCCTGAGTAAGTGACAGATACTGCAGATAACCACAGTTATGGAGGAGATTTTTCTTCCTTACCCTTTGTAAAGGTTTGGGGCACTTGTCTCTCATTACATTCTAATTTACCCCACTAGTTTCTATGCTCAGAAGGGTCACCCTCTTCCATGCATTTAGGCTCCCTCTCACACTTATGCTCTAGTTGCTCTAGGTACTTCAGAAAGCTAAGCATAAATGAAAGCATTCTGATCTTCTACAAAATCCATAGACATTTATTAGAGAGCCTGGATTATTACATCTGACATCTACATTAGTGGAAATCATACACCAGTCCTTCCAAAACAAGGGAACTGGAAAACAATCAACATTTAGTAAGTTCTAACCTTTCTCTTTCACAAGTTCTGTATCCAAATTCATGATTTCATTGACCCATAAAAGTACAATGTTGGATGTGCTTAACAGCATCTCACACTGAATGACTACAAATTTACATACTCTCATGGCTGCGTCTTCAGTGCAAAAAGGATGTC